ACCTCTTTGTAACTCTTGCCCAACTCAGACTGTGTTTACTAAGATTTTTGCTGTTCCAAAATGCTTTCAGTTTTAGAGATGTGTTTATAACTTTATGCAATTTTCTCTTTCAGGGCTCATGAATCAAGCAAACAAACATGAAAAATGGATTAAGGCTGATGCCCCAAAAGGCACTGTAAGTTTTAGAATTCAGAGTTGGTTTCAGTCCCTGAAACTGCAGGACTAAGAATGGGTTGAGTTATATTTATAATCTTTAACAATGATTAATAGATCCATAACTACAAAAATGCAAATACCACAGTTCATATAAATGTTGAACACACGTATTGGAATGAGTACTGGTGAATTGTCTTGGGGAGGAGGGTTTTTCAAATTTTGTACTTAGCTACTGTATTAGTTTTCTGTTGCTCTGTAACAAATTACCACAAACTACCCATTTAAAATAACACCTATTTATCAGCTCACAGTTTCGTAGGTCAAGAGCCCAGCATGGCTAGATTCTCTGCTCTGGGTATCCACAAGGACTCAAGGTGTTGGCCAGGCTGAGCTCTCGTTTGGATGCTCTAGGGGAAAATCTACTTCCAAGTCCATTCTTCTTATTGGCAAAATCTAGTTCCTTGTGACTGTATGACTGAGGTTTTCTTGCTTGTCAGTCGGCACTCTAAGCTTCTAGAGGCTACCCACATCCCTTCTCCTGAGGCCCTCTCCATCTTCAAGCCAGCAGTCATGTATTCAGTCCTTCTCATGCTTTCAATGTCTGACCTCTTCTACAACCAGCTGAAGAAAATCTGCTATTAATTGGCTCACTTGATTAGGTCAGGCCTACCCAGGATAACCTTTGTTTTGCCATATAATGTAACATAATTATGGGAGTGATACCTCATATTCAGTTTTCATTCACACTCAAGAGGAGATTATATAAAGATATAGGTAATGAGGGAGGGTTACCTTAGTTTTTTTTGCACCATAACTCTCATGTAACCTGTTTTCTACTTAGTACTTATTGTGACATCAGTGTAAATTTAAGCTGTGAATAAAACACTTTATTAATGGGATATAGTTGCTACTGATTCTTATTTTTTTTTTGCATAATTTAAGACAACTCATTAGTGGGGGAGAAACATTCAGCTATTTTATAGCCTGATATATGAAGACGGATTTTCACTTTTATAATGGTGTACTGTATAAAGTTATTTTATGAATTCTCTTTCAAATCTTACCTGTCTACTCCTGGAACATTTAAATTATATGACACTGAAAAGACTCTCTATTAGATTATATCTTTTATGATTAGGATACATCACTTCTTAAACACTGATTTCTAATAGACCTTTCCAAATACATGATTTGTAATGGTCTGTCTTTTTATTAACTTTTCATTTATTTAGTGTTGTCTGTTTTTGACTTCTTATTTGTGAAACAAAAAAACCAGCTTTGGGTGATATCTCAAAGTCTCCTTTTAGTTTACCTTTAATGAAATAAAAATGTATATAAGTTTGGATGATACTCATATGTTATATGTGTGATGTGGTTGTGATGTGTGTGTATTATTAAGCACAGGAAACTAAGAAGTAGTGAGACAATTTTTAGAATCTTTTTTCACTCTCATGCAATTATATAAACATCTTTATGACAAAAAATAAAGTTTATGAAATTAGTCAACAACAGCCAGAAAGATCATGAGCAGTCAACTGTATTTAAAAGTACTAAAGGAATTATATATATTTTGGATTGTATAATCAAGTCCAAACAGAAAGGAAAAGCTGCCATATTTTGCTCTCTTGAGCACAGCCCCATATATTTTTGGATGCTTAAGAGCTGTGGACCTGAGGAATATTTTGTATACCTTGGATACTTTTTGCACTGAGAACTTAAAAATTTTGTCACCTGTTCACTCTAGTCCTTTATCCTCTTTCCATAGCCCCCTTTTTCTAACACCTACCCCTTTTCTTTCATTTCTTTAGCTGTAAAATTCATCTCCCCATAAAGAACAAATGTGTCTCCTATGTTTGTTTAAAGAGGATCTTATTCAGAGAGTTTTGGAGTAAGTTTGGCAGTTAGACACCCTGCCTGGTTTCTGGAGAACATAACAGGGTATGTTTCTCCTTATCCTGGTCTTCCCCATGCAGGTGTTATTACTTTAGAAAGCAGTTTCCTCTTTTATGGGTCTCTCCAGTTGTCTGCTTGAGAATTCAGGGGTCAGAAGTTAACTTTTATGCAGCTGCCAGAAATCTCCAAATTTAGTTTAAAATCACCCTGTTAGAACAGTTGTCTTAAGTCTCTTGGCTCAAGCCTTAAAACTTCCCACTCAACTAATTCCCCTGCTAGCCACCTTTAGGAACCATTTCACAGCTTGGTTCTACCTAAGTAGAACTAAGTGATACTACCTAATTTCAAAAACTTTCGAAATCAATCCAAGAAAAGGAACTATTATCAGCTATTTAAAAGAGATAAATAATGCAGAAAACACCCAAACAGAACAGCAAAAAGAAAAAAAGTAAAAAAAAAAAAAAAAGATTTTTAAGAGGCCTCTGCTATAACCTCAAGTTTACCAACATTTGCATTCTAGGGCTACCAGGAGAAGAGCAAGAACAAGGAATTGGAAACCTATTTGAAGAAATAATGACAGTAAACTTCCCTAACCTTGCAAAGGAAACTGATATACAAGCCCAGGAAGCTCAGAGAGTCCCAAATAAGATGAACCCAAAGAGACCAACACCAAGACACATCATAATCAAAATGCCAAAGGTTAAAGACAAAGAGAATCTTAAATGCAGCAAGAGAAAAGGGAACTCCCATAAAACTATCAGCTGCTTTCTCAACAGAAACTCTGCAGGCCAGAAGGGATTGGCACAAAATATTCAACATGATGAAAAGTAAAGACCTACAACCAACATTACCTAGCAAAACTATCATTTAGAATCAAAGGACATATAAAGAGCTTCCCAGACAAGAAAAAGCTAAACGAGTTCATCATCACCAAAATAGTATTACAAGGAATCTTAGAGGGGCTTCTTTAAGATGAAAAAAAAAATTATATATATATATATATATATATATATATATATATGTAATAACTACATACCTATCAATTAATTTCAATGCAAATGGATCAAATGCTCCAAGCAAAAGATAGGGGAGCTGAATGAATAAGAAAATAAGACCCTTACATATGCTGCCTACAAGAGACTCCAGATCAAAAGACACACAGACTGAAAGTAAAGGATGGAAAAACATATTTCATGAAAGTGGAAACAAACAAACAAAAGCTGAGATAGCAATACTTATACCAGACAAAATAGACTTTAAAACAAAGTATAACAGGCTGGCCGAGTGGCTCAGTTGGTTAACAGGTGGCTTAAGAGCGCCAGCTCTGAGCAACAGGGCCTCCGGCTCGATTCCCACATGGGCCAGTGATGCACCCAAACTGAGCTATTGCTGAGCTGCCAACAGGTGGCAGGATGGCTCAGCTGGTGTAAGAAGAAGATTGCCTGTTTGATGGTAGGCTACGCCCACCCGCAACTAAGACTGAACTCGGCACATTGAGCTAAGCTGCCGCCTGGATGGCTCAGTGGATAGAGTGTGTACTCTTAACAACAAGGCTGCTGGGTTCGACTCCCACATAGGATGGTGGCTACGCCCACCCGCAACTAAGATTGAACACAGCAACTTGAGGTTAGAGGCCATGAGCTGCCAACAGGCAGCCAGATAGCGACTGGCGCCCTCCACAACAAAGATTGAAGAACAACAACTTGGCTGGTCCCCTTCCCCAATTCCCCAACACTGTTCCCCTCCCCCAATTCCGCAATAAAAAAATCTTAAAAAACAAAACAAAAAACAACAAAAGACAAAGAAGGACCTATTATAGTAATCCCACTTCTGGTTATTTATCCGAACAAACCCATAATGCTACTTTGAGCAGATGTACTCATCCATATGTGCGTTACAGCATTATTTACCTAAGCCATGATATGAAGGCAACCTGGGTGTCCCTGAATGGATGAATAGATAAAGAAGAGGTGGTACATGTATACAATGGATTACTAGTCAGCCATAAAAAAAGAACAAAATCTTGCCTACTGCGACAACATGGGTGGACCTAGAGGATATTGTGCTGAGTGTAGTTAAGTCACACAGTGAAAGATAAATGTCATATGATTTTGCTTATAAGTGGAATCTAAAAACAAAATAAATAAACATGAAACAGAAACAAACTCATAGATAGAGAACATTTTGATGGTTGCCAGATGGGAAGGGGATTGGGGGTAGGTGAAAAGGGAAAGAGATCAAGAAGTACAAATTTTTTGTTACATAATAGTCTTGGGATGTAGAGTATAGCATAAGGAATATAGTCAATAATATTGTAATAACTATATATGGTGTTAGGTAATAGATCGATGGGAGGGGGGTTGGGAACAGAGTAAAAAAGGTGAAAGGATTAAGAAATACAAATCAGTAGTTACAAAATAGTCATGGGGATGTACAGTATAGGGAATATAATCAATAATGTGGTAATAACTATATATAGTGCCAGGTGGGTACTAGTTAGGGGAATCACTTCCTAAATTATATAAATGTCTAACCACTATGCTGTACACCTGAAACTATTATAAAATAATATTGAATGTCAACTCTAATTGAAAAATTAAAACGGGAGGGAAGATAAAGAAGATGTTCAAAGTTCCAGATATAAAACAAATTAATCAATATACAGCATAGGAAATATAGTCAACAATATTGTGATAGCGTGATACAGTGTCAGATGGTTGCTGGACTTATCATGGTGATTGCTTCTGTAGCTTACAGAATATAATCAATGATGTAATAACTCTGTATAGGGCCAGTTGGGTACTGTTGAATAACCATTGGTTTGTTGGAAAAGTCATGACGCATTTTTGCAACGAAAAACATAGAAAAAATACGTCATGAATTTTCCGACAACCCAATATGAAACTAATATAACTAATATAATATAATATTGTATGTTAGCCATATTTTCATAAAAATCTTTAAAAAAATTATTAAAAAGTATTTAGCTAATAGAGTGCCCTATAATAAACCCCTAGAACCGTTTTTAAACTTTTCAAAATAACTTTCATATCTTTTACCGTAAATTTTATCCTTACTTCAAATTTGTGGGGTACAAAAAGACAGTTGGTTAACCCTATTTAAGAGATAAATAATGGAGGAAATAGAAAGGTTAAAAAACTGATCTAATATTACCAATACATCTTCTTTGTGGTGGTCAGAACAGAGTTGTGCTTTCTCCTGGACTCTATCAACATCAGAGTTAAATGATATCAAATAATGATACACTGGCATGTGATCATTTGAATTCTGTTAAAATCTAAAGAGAGTTATTATCTTTTACCAAAATGGTAAAAATTTATACATGAATGCTTATTAAAAATTACTATGTGGATATACAATTAATAACACATATCTCCTAGCATAAAATGGGGAGAACAAATTTTTTTTTTGCATAGCATAGTTTAAAAATTCCCCTATAGTGCAAATTTGATTAAAAAGAAATCTTTCTAAGACATAGCAGGGATATCCTTTTTATTCACAGATAGTTCATGTTTCTATTTAATTTGCCCCTGACTGTTTTTAAGTCAGATGTTGAGATGAGTTGAGGATCAGTTGGCATTTAGTCCCCTCAGTATAAGTATTGCTAAGTATATGGAAATCACAAGAAAACCTTGTTTTGTTTAAAAAGGTACACTTATATCCTTTGTAATAAAGCTTCTCGGATCCTTGAAGTCATTGCCTGGCTCAAACTCTCACTCTGACTTAATAAGGCCATCTCTGCATTCTTTTCTAGAGAGAAGTTCTAAATTCCCTGTCAAAAATGTCACATCTCTCAGGGTTGTTTCATATAACTATAACCTCAGATTTGATAATCTCATCAAAAGTATTGGTTTGATTAAGGTCAATTTAAGTGGAAAATTTACATAGTAGCAGTACTTGGTTTGGCTTTTTTTTTAAAATCATGATTATTAGAAGAACTAATGATGTATTTAGAAACATTTGTAGTTGGAATAACAATCAGGAGAGGATTTGCTGCTTGTTTACATTGTTGAGATCCAGCTAATAAAAATACTTGCATTAAATGAAGTTGCCAAGTTCTAGATTTTTTGTTCTTCCTGCTGGAGACTGAAGGTCATACTGCTTCCTCTTCACTACTATATGTGAAATCTTTCCCTGTTGATTCTGAATCTTTACGTGGCATTGTATCGTGTTGTTCTGTAAGAGGCTCTCCTTTGTAGTCATAGCCAAACCAAAGTGGAGGGTCATCAGAGCTGTATTCCTGCTGCTGAACTACAGATGACATTTTCTTAGCTGCTTCCCTGTAATAACAGTGGTTAGCGTGAGCTAGTTGCAAAAGTAATCACTAGTGAAGAATTATCAAACTAGAGCAAATTTGGAGTTAAAGAACATCATCAGGTGTTGAATTCACTTTTCACAGCTCTTGCCTTGCTGAGGGGGAATGTGGATAACTGTGCTAAATAATCAGGATCTCAAAGGTTAAGCAGTTCAATAGTCCCTAGTTCAGCCAGTTCAGAGATTAACAGACACAGTGAATGGATAAGGAAGGTGTATGGCATGGAGTGGGAATACTGAGGTCATTCAGTAGTGTTCTCGAGGCAGCCCTGTGCCTGGGATTTCCAGTTTCTTTGATGAGGGAGTTCCCATACCTGCCAGCCTGTGAAAGTTGGAGCTCTTAGCCCAAAACCCACAGATAGATCCCTGTTGGATACATGGATGAATTTCAGGGAGGTCCACGGACTCCCTGAAAATTCATGCAGTTTTATATTTAATACACATTTTTATGAAGAGAGAGATTGTGATTTTTCAAATTCTCAAAGGTGTCAATGACCAAAATGATTAAAATTACAGTTATTGTCTTTTTTTAGGAGGAGGGAAAGAAGCAAAGAAGGCATGTAAAAGTTGTTCTGGACCTGAATTCCAGCATGGTGTGTGTGGGGGGAGGGGTTCCCCCACACCACCAAGCAATTTTCAGACACCAGCTGGTTGTCCTACAATTCAACTCAGTTCTGACACTGTCTACCCAGAGAGAGCATCTGATTCCACAGGTTCAGGGCTCAGTTCCACAAGACACCGCCCTCCACTTCAGTTGCCAATAGCAAGCCCAGGTTGGCACCTGGGCGTCTAACCAACTGGTTGTATAGATCAGAAATTGCAACACCTCCCTCCTTGGGTTCAATTAATTTGCTAGAACTGCTCGTAGAATTCAGAGAAACTTGACTTACTGGATCACTGGTTGGTTGTAAAAGGATATAACGCAGGAACCGCCAGATAGAAGAGATGCACAGGACAAGGTAGGGAGTAAGGGTGCAGCGCATGCCCTCTCCACACATGCCCCTCCCCCAACCTCAATGCATTTTCCAACCCAGAAACACTCTGAACCCTGTCTCCCTGGGTTTTTAGAGCGACTTCATTACATAGGCATGGTTGATTAAATCATTGGCCATCAGTGATTGAGTCAACCTCCAGCCCCTTTTCCCTCCTCAGAAATCGGAAATCGGGATGGGACTGAAAGTTCCACCCCTCTTCCCGGTTGGCTCCCCTGGCAACCAGCCCCTATCTTTAAGTGCTTTCCAAAGGTCACCTTATTAACATAAACCCAGTTGTGGTGGAAATGGGCTTGTGATGAATAACAAGACACCCATTTCATCTTTATGGCTCTGAATGGAGTTTAGGAACTGAGGACAAAAAAACAAATATTATGAAAGAGATGCTCCCTTTATTCTTATCACTCAGGAAAATTCTAAGGGTTTTGGGACCTGTGAGCCAGGAACCGTGGAGGAAGACCAAATACAGAGGGGGCCAAAAACATGTATACACATTTTAAGAAAGGAAAAACCTGCATTAAAATTATGCTGACGGTAACCACTTTAAGCACCTCTTGTCATTGCAGAAGTCAAATGTGACTTGTATTCATCTTTTGTTATCGGTATATATTAAGTATTACAATTTTAGTATTTTTTTGCTTTCTTAAAATGTATATACGTTTTTTGGCACCCTCTGTATATGAGAATTGTATTTTGGTCATCTGAATAACCAAATATATATTACTTATAAATCATATCACAGCATCAGAAAAAAGATATATCTAACTTGAAAACAAGGCCAATTTGAGAACAGAAGGGTTTTTTTCCTAGGAAGTTGGTTTGAATGTGAGACCAATACTAAAAAGCAAATGAGTAATTGGCAAATTATGGAGGATCAGAAATGAGTATGTTTGCCCATGAAGGGGCTGCTTTGCCCACTATTGCCATATGTTACATTGAGTTATTAACTGCAAAAGTCTGGAAACTGAGTCATTCATATGGAGGCTGTATTATCATACCCTTGGAGTTAAATTTGTGCTCAATGGCTATATGGATTCAAATACAGCAATGAAATTGGAAAAGGCTCAGATACATCAGTTGTTTAAAATGCTGTTTCACTTGAATAAGATCTTAGAAGTATTAAAATAATTGTAACCAAACTCAACAGGGAGGCAATGAAAGCATTGTTAATTCTCTTACCACATTGCTTTTGGCTCATACATTTACACTCTTACAAAACTTCCACAAGTTTAAAGAACAATTTGAATAAAAGAAATTCCTATACTAATTTAAGTGTAGTTCTATGTTTTAAACTTCTTATATAATCTTTATATAATCTCTAAGTAGGACATCTTCATGCAAAAATAATAGTGTTATATCTTTAGTTTTTCCATTTTCTTCTGAGGATTTTTCTCCCTTTTCAATTCGATGGAGTTGAGATTGCCATGTCTTTGAAGGCGTTTTCTGTGAGACTTTTTCCCCTTGAGGACCTACCACAACATAATACCAAATGTTGGGGGAATCCGAAGCATGAAACATTGGCACCATCAGTTTCAAATGGGTAAAACACTATTCTAGGCAACAGAGCTCCACTGTAACTTACCCTTCACTTCATTCCGCCTGTCTAAACCTTCTCTGTCTTTTAAAACTCCAAACCAGTCCATCCTCTTGTAAAGAAGACCCAAACCCAATCCCTTCCTCTTCTAAACTTCTATAGGAAGCTGATCATAGAATTAATTTCTTCCTGATACATAGCTTCATGGCATGAATTGTTTACAATTTTAAACTTTGTAATTTTCCTTTTGTTTAAGAAGGCAGTAACTTATTTAAGGGTATGTTACATTTCTTGTATTTCCTTGAAACCTAGCAGTACCAGCCAAAACAAGATATTCCAGCAGGTTGTACCAAGAAGGAAAGTCCTTTAGCTCTCTTCTCTTGTTGGTTTTGAAGAGGCATTTGTAGTTCCTACTTCCAACACCCTCCTGCCCTCTTCCTCCCGTAGAGCAGAGCTCTGGACACAACTGTAGTTCACAGTGGTTGGTAATGATTCAGTGCCATTGATGATAACAATACTACTGCAGTTAGAGGCAACAGTGGCCTTGACCTATAGGGAAAGGACATGTTTGGGGAGTAAAAGATTTGTAAGTAGTTGACCAAATTATATGCAACCTTTGGTCTCAGAAGAGCAAGTTTTTAAGAATTCTCGATAACTGGGAAGAGGTTAAGTAGTCTTAATGCTAAATTTGGGAACATATAAATAACTATTGAGTTATACAGTTCCTCAGTCAGCTACAAGCCAGGGTAAATTAGCTGGTAATTGTGATTTTAAAAATTAGCAAATAGGGCTGGCTGAGTGGCTCAGCTGGTTAAGAGTGCGAGCTCTAAGCAACAGGGTCGCTGGTTTGATTCCCACATGGGCCAGTGAGCTGCGACCAAGCTGAGCTGCCAACAGGTGGCAGGATGGCTCAGCTGGTGAGAGCAAGTGCTCCTAACAACAAGGTTGCCAGTTGGACTCCCGCATGGGATGGTGGCTATGCCCCCCACGACTGGGATTGAACACAGCACCTTGAGCTGAGCAGCTGCGAGCTGCCATCCGGCGGCGGGATGGCGACTGGACTTGGAGCTGAGCTAGCGGCGCCCTCCACAACTAAGACTGAAGGACAACAACTTGTCTGTTCCCCTCCCCCAATTCCCCAACACTGTTCCAATTCCCAATAAAATCTTTAAAAAACAACCAAAAAAAAAACCAAATAATAGGAGTATGAGAAAATAACAAGAAAAGAAAGTCGGGGATTTTGACTACTTATCTCCCACTTCTCCCTCCCTTCCTCTGTCCCTGTCCGTCTCTCCTTGGTGTTCTAGTGTGGTAAATACATGGGAGCTAGGAAATATTGAAAAGATAGTGTATTCTTAGGAATCATCATGTGCTCAAAGATTCTTAGAGTTCATATGGAATCCTTTAACTACCTTCTACTCTGGCTTGGCCTAAGTGACTCGAAAACCTTATATGAGATGATTTGGGAATTGAACCAGTCTACTGCAATGGTTAATTATCATTACTCATTTAACCTGGTGAGAGAGATTTCTTTGGATCATACAGAACAGTGATTTTCAAATGTGATATGCCACAAACAGTAGTGAAGTATATCACATTAGATGGTTAACAATGATGTGCTGAAGTTCGTAAGTGATTCTGGTTTTTATAAGTTAAAGTCAATTCAGGGTTATCCCTGTAATAACATTATTTGCCCTTGTTCACATTTCCTTCTAGTTTCTTGAGTAGGCCAAAAAAAGAGTGTGAGGGGCGTGTTGGAGCCCACACCAGTAAATAACTTGAGTATCAGCAAGTAAATTGGGCATAAGAGAGCACATGCCTCCCCTTATTGATCAAGTCCTTTAAATGTAAGAGCTTAAAAAAAAGCCTTGAGAATCACTAATCTAAAGGCAAAAGAGCAGCATAATAAGGATTAAGACCTAGGTACAAAGTATGGCTATGCCTTTTATTTGTGTGACCTCGGGCATGTTATTTAACCTGTTTAAACGAGTTTCCTTATTCATTTTATGGTAATAGGGTATTTGTGAGGATTAGATGAGATGAGATAATAAAATAGGATTTAGTACAGTACATGGCAAAAAACTGTTAAATGATATTATTTGTTCATACTAAAAATAAAAGTTAATAGCTCCAGATCACAAACGCCTTTCCATAAACTGGAGAGAACTCTAATAAGAGTTTTATTTCCTAGCAACACAGTTCTCTCAGGGCACCTGGGGAGTAATTTATGCTGCCAGCTAAAGAAGGCCTTCAAGAAACCTGTGCTGCTTTGGGGGCTCTAAAGGCCTCCAAGATGTCCTCTGCTGATTTGTCTGGAGCTGGAAGTTTGGGGCTCCAGACAGAAAATGTCAGGAAGGTCCCTTTACTCTTTGCTAAGTATAGACTTAATAGCTCTCTGCCTTTCTCGGGTTTAGACCCACCTGGGTTGTGGAGACCACTGTTTGGGGCTTTCTCCCTCCCTCCCACTGTGTGTGTTTTCTTCACCATGGCCTTACTTGCTTTCCCTCCAGCGGGCCAGAGGCCGAAAGGCTGGCTGTACACAAGATCTTCCATTGACTGTGGGGGTAGTTGTACTTAGAACCAATTCTCATCTGAGCCCTGGAATTGGATTTTAAGGGCTACATCACACAATGTTTTCAGGTTCAAATGGAATCTAACATGTGGGAGTCCATCACTTTGTGATTTAAAGTCGCTGAGCCTCTTCCCAAGCAAGAAAAGTCTCTATCTCAACTACCAAATGTTCCATTTCACCAAAGTGCCGGCAGTTGAGGGAGCCACACTAACTCTGGTAAGAGCAAACAACTGTGTTTTTCTACAGTGGACATAGGTGAGAGATTAACCATCATCATGAGCTGGAGCTCTGAAGGGTCCACATACTCTTTGCAGCATTTTCAGTTCCACCCAAGGGATCGAAATAGAGAAGGAAGCTGCACTCCTGACCCTGGAGCTGACCCCAGACCGCTCTGTGTGGCCACGACTGACCACTTACTAATCCAAGTTTTGAGGCCCAAGTACCTTGGGAGCTCTGTGACTGACAAGCAGCATCCTCTCCGAGATGTCAGAAGTCGGGACAGATGCTCCTGGAGCCTGACTAGTCCAAACACTGGGACTCTCCAAGCCACTCTGCTGTGGGAACTGCCCTCCTCCCTTGCCAGACAAAGATAGCATCAGAGGATTCTAGGCCTCTTTCCTGCTGGAGCTCAGCAGGGTGGAGCTATAAGGGAAACCAACACAGTTTGGCCTCTTTAGATAATGAGATGGGTAGACGAGCTGGCTCAACCTCTAGGCATTAGGGCCAAGTCTCTGTCTGCTTTTTGATGATAGACAGCTAGGCTTGGTGGTAGAAAACGAAGGAGGCGTTTTGGCTATCCTGGCTTAGGTAAAGGAATTTTCCATAGATCCAGCTAGTTATGTGGAGTATTGCATTGGGTTCTGGGAGACAAATGCAGCTAGTAGTAAAATCTTGCTTTGTTTTGTTTTGTTTTGTTTTCTGTGTGTGTGTGTGTGTATGTATATGTATGTATGTATGTATGAGGTCAGACAGTTAAGTTTGAGAACTCATCCTAAAAAAAGTGCTACATACCTCATTGCTAAATATCACTACGGTCACCTTTGAAGTACTCCCCTTGGGAAGCTATGCACCGACACCAGTGCCTAGTCCACTCTTCAAAGCAATTTTGGAACTCGTTTTCTGGAATGGCCATCAGAGCTATTGTCATATTATCCTTGATGTGCTGAACGTTATCAAAATGTCTTCCTTTCAATATTTTCTTTATCTTTGGGTAAAGAAAGATGTCATTGGGGTCCAGATAAGGTGAGTAGGGAGGGTGTTCCAATACAGTTATTTACTGGCTTAAAACTCCCTCACAGACAGGGCTGTGTGAGCTGGTGCATTGTCATGATGCAAGAGCCATGAATTGTTGGTGAAAAGTTCAGGTCGTCTAACTTTTTCATGCAGCCTTTTCAGCATTCCCGAATAGTAAACTTGGTTAACTGTTTGTCCGGTTGGTACAAATTCATAGTGAATTGTCACTCTGATATCAAAAAAAGTTTAGCAACATTGTTGCAACAAGTTCGTCAACTTAATTGTCCAATTTCATATATGTGTGTGTATGTATATGTATAATATAACATGTATATTATATATTGTATATTATATATAACATATATATTATATCTATTATATATGTTTTTTATCTAGTGGCCTTGCAAGAGGAGTGAGTAGTCAAAGGAAGGATTGGGGTATTATTAGATATCTTGGGTCTTCCTGACTAAACACTGCATTTATCACACTTTAATACCCCATACCATGATTAGATTCAGAGAGGCCCTTGCTAGAAAGTCTCCATTCATTCTACATAAAACCCACTTATTAGAAGTTCAATAATATTACCTCCCAAAAATAGTGAGCTATTTTTATCAAATAGCTCACTATTTGATAATCTTATCAAAAGATTAGAAGCTAAACTCCTTTGTATGAAATACTTTTCATTCGCTGCCATCTTGCTCAAATTTGGCTGTTTAATGACATGACAAGGCAGGGACACTTAGGACCTTATTTCACGGCATCCTCTTTAAATAAAATGAATACCCATATCAATCCTCTACCAGAAAGGGTTGAGTCACCACTCTTCCAAAATTTTTAAAAACCTATCGCCTTTTATCTGACCCAGCTTCAGTTGGCGTCACCGCCCATGGCATTCCTGGGCCCAGAGAGAATGCCTGTTTTACAAGTTATAGTTTTTGTTTTCATTTCATTTTAACACACACAGCCTTGATCAGAAACCATTTCTTCCTCAGGCCTCAAGTGACCAGTTCTCATGGTTCAGCTAATGCCCGGGCTGCCTCATTAAGAAAGTTCCTTTGTGAAATCTACATGCTTGGAACACATTATGCACTTCATACTTTGATAATATTAATAATTAGTATTTACTTTTCCAGCCTGCAGAAAAGAACCTAACCTTCAGGGACGGGTCAAGAATTCACATTTTGAACACGCCACATGTCAGTTAAAATACTTGCACATTTTTACTCTCTGCCAATAGGAAAAAGATTGAACAATGGACCAAATAACTGCTTTGTATTTAAAAACTCACAGGGTAGACATCCTAGACCTTCTACCTTTGTAGAGTTGCTTATTTACTCAATTGTTATTTCATTGGAAACATTTTGTTAACGGAGGGAACAGACATTTGGCCTGTAGCAGTAAAGTCAGCATACCTTCCTCTGAGCCCTAGATCTTTTAGGAAATCTCTGGTCAAATGAAAAGCAGCTCTTGAGCAAACAGCTTTGGGAGAGATGAGACTTGGGATACCTGTTAGTAATTTATACTTAACTGGGAGTGGCTTAACACAGTTATTTTCTTAACCCCTAAGGGAGATAAACTGAATAGAATTTTTTTGAGAGATGAGTAGAGGAAGAGCTAGCATAATTCTACAAAAAGAGAGTCAAGGCTTTGGACATCTGCAAGGTCAGGGAAGGAGAAGGATTTAGAGGGCTGCTGAGACCGGGACATGAAACCACAAAGAGCATTTCAGAAGACAGCTTCCCTTGGGTCAGCTCAAAATGTTGGGTTCAATTAGAAAAAACAAAAAAATGCAACTTCCTAACTCTGAAAGCCACTATGTATTACAAATGCCATAGCCACATATTCTGTTTTCTCAAAAAGTAGTTTTCATATTCAGGTGCATACTTACTTGGAGATAAGTCTGCAGTATTGCATCTTAAGGATCCGAAGCTGTCTGCAGCCTATCTGAAGGTGCTCAAGCATTTGGTCAGTAAGCAGGATACAACCAGAAATATCCAAAACGTGCAGGTAATGGCATTTTGCCGATAACAACTCCATTGCTGAGTCGGTAATCTGAACACAGTCAAAGTAAGTACTGATTATTTCAGAGAACTCTATCCCAGGGAAGAATAGTATGCTAGTAAGTTTGGGATGCTATAACAAAATACTGTAGATTGGGTGGTTTAAACAACATCTATTTCCCACAGTTCTGGAGGCTGAGAAGTCCAAGATCAAGGTGCCCACAGAGGGCCCTCTTCCTGTTTGTGAATAGTTACCTTCTTGCTGTATCCTCACATGACAGAGAGCTCTGTTTCTCTCTATTCTTATAAGGATACTAGTTCCATCATGAGGGCTTCACCTCCATGACCGCAACTGAAACCTAATTACTTCCCCAAAGCCTCACCTCCTCATACTATCACATTGGGGATGAGGGTTTCAACATATGAATTTTGAGGGGAGCACAAACATTTTAGGGGGACAAAAGCATTTATAACTAACATAATCAAGACCTTTGCAGGTTCTTGCAGGTTCTCTTTAATCAGCTTATCACATGATAGGTCTATAATTCAAGTTAATGATTTAACTGTTTCCAGAACAGTAAAATGTACGTTTCAAGTGGTGCCAACAGAACCTGTGATCTTGCTGTTCTTTCTAGAGTTCTCTGTTATGGGTGGGAAGCTTCATCAAAATTTCCTTAGTAAAACCTGTCACATTAATACGAGTAACTATGAAATGCTGCAGTAATGGAATTTATAACATCATATGTTACAGAACTATAAAATATATACAGAGGGTGCCAAAAAATGTATACATATTTTAAGAAAGGAAAAAACTGTATTAATATATATCAATAACAAAAGATGAATACAAGTCACGTTTGACTTCTGCAATTACAAGAGGTGCTCAAAGTGGTTACCATCAGCATCCAGATACTTCTGATTACGGTGAACTCCTGCTTGAGCAACGTTGACCAAAGTGTTAACATTTCTTTAAATGTGTATACATTTTTTTGGCACCCCTGGTATAACAGTGGACACTGAAGTTAACCTGCAGACAGGGCCAGACCGCCATGAGAAGGGACTGAACATCGCTGACGGTTTGCATGTGAAGCCATGTGGTTCTGGAAAAGGATGAGCAGGTGAGACAGATGTTTGTAGGCAGTGGGAGAAAGGCGAGCAGGAGCAGCATCTCACCCAGAGAAGTCCTGCTGAGGTTGCAACAGCCTGGAAGTTCGCCCAGGTGTTCTGCAGGAGACATTCACTTCCACTTCTTAGGATAGCTAACCTGAAACTTGCTGCAGAATCAACTAGATTACTCTGCCCAAAGGAATTCTTTTTCCAACTGAATTTAATCTCTTACTGTAAATGTTTGAATATTCTAAAAACATGCCATGAGGCTTGACTCTTGTTTTCAACATTGGGCTGAGAGAATTACGCAGAAAAAGCCCTTTCATTTGAAACATACACTTTTTAAGTTTGGAAAAATAGATGTCATTGTCTAAGCATGCCCTGTTTCCAGAACATGCAGAGGACCAAGGTTTAACATTGCAACTGATTTTCACAAAAATGCCTTCAGACATCCCTGCCATGCTATGTTGGTCTCTGAGGATCTGATGTCATTGAAAGCAAAATAAAACAAAAAGCCCTGAGTTATAGAAAAAAAAAGGAAAGAAAATGAGGTGGAGGACGGGTGGAGCTCAGAGTGCTATATTTGATTGATCCTGGGGACCTGAAAAGGAGCCTGACATTTTCTGTAGATCAGAAGCTCAAGATATTCAATGACGGAGGTGATGTTGGGACTTAAAGGGGCTGGAAGCTAGAGGTGGCGACGACTGGCCACATTCTTCACTCCCAGACACAGGATCCTAATCTCAGTCCTGGTGACCAGAGATTATGTCATTCACATTTTAGTGCTGGGTAGGACGAGGTCACAGTGCTACTCACTGACAGGGAGGTAAGCCTGTTGCAAGGAAGAGCTGGCCTTCCAGGAGATGGATAAGGTGACCCTTCAAGGTTGACCCAGGGACTTTTGGGAAACCTAGTCTAAAATGGTGAGCCAGATACTAATGTGTTTTATGGCTCATCAGAAGCAATGTATTGATAGATGGTATATATTAGGACCACAGCCTTACGGTTTCTGGGCAGGGAGTGTTCAGATTGGTCCAAATTATAGTCACCACGTCTTCTGAATCAGGATACTCATTTGACCTGCATAGATGGTAAAGCTAAAACCCTTCTCTCTTACATTGAGATTCTGAAATAATCTACTCCCCTTCCTTTTATCACCCTACATCTTTGATGTAGAGTGATTCGTTTCATAATATCTTACTTGTGTGACATCCTCCTTTGTTTCTAGGCTGCAGGACAGTGTCCACTGTACAGTTTATAGAAGGAATTCCTTTAGTTTCTCCTTAGCAAAAACAAAACAGTGAAAAAAGGATCCTTTGCCTCAATTCCTGTCCTCACTGGGGTCTTTTCTTTACTCATTCTCCTACTTTCTTCCCTAATTAGCAGCACACTAAAAAGCCCAGTCTCCATGCAGGCCTGCTTTTACAGCCAGCGCTGTTCCCAGGGAGCCACGCGCTGGCCGTGTGTCCACATGTCCATGCGCAATGACAGCAAAAACCCTGTGAGCTGTGGCTGCTCAGGCTGCAGAGGGTCCATGGTCAGTGCCGTTAGTGTGCTGAGGTCCTGGACCCCACACACTTACAGAATCAGATGACGCTGACCAGAAAGACATCTGGTTTCCCTAGTTCTGAACAAGTACATTATTGAACAAAAAGAATTTTGCTGGAACTTTCTAGATTAATTTCATCATAATTTACCCCATTTTTTCCCCCACTGCCTCTTCCTCCTTAACTATGGAGGGGAATTAGGAGGTTCTAGCATCAAACTCTTAATCTACTCACCACGCAAACTAAACAACTGAGAAGTTCAAATTTTAAACTAGCGAGAATGCAGGGCATCTTGAGAGTCTGGGTGACGCTTTAGTAAAGAGAATCCCATCGGTGTATATGACAGAAGAGAACAGGGTTGTTAATCTTGCAATTTCTGAGGATTTTTTCAAAAGATTTTTTAGTTTTCTTTCCTCTGCATATTTTACTTCCACCAAGGTTTTCCTGTCAATTTGTTGTGGTCTTTATCTTCCACATTAGAGATTTTTTCTTATGTCTGTTAATTGACTGTTCATGATGAATAGTGGAGGGCTACAAACTGATTAGAAGGTCTGCGGGCATGATGTGGGCCTTGTCTATTTTAAGCTCAGTGCTCTAGGTGGGTTATTTGTTGGGAAAACCCCAAATGTCAGTATTCTTTAGTCTTTCATCTTGGTCTAGTCAGAATCCCCAGAAAAGAAGCTTCTGATCTCCTGCCTAGAGGGAAAATTCTGGCAGCCAAACTCTGGATGCTGTATTGGAGAAGTGCTTGAGTGTCTCTGCATTCAGCATTTACTCACTTAATTCCTGTTTTCACTTTTGTACCCAAGCTCTGCATTATACAGGGTATCTCCCAGCCCAGCAACCCTCTGTTTTACTATCTACAGAGCAGATAGTAAAATGATTTTGCTCCCCCGAGGACAAGTAGCATTATCTGGAGACATTTTTTATTGTCATGACTGGAGGTATGAGGGGCTGGGAGCTACTGACATGGTGGATAGAGGGCAATATGCTGTCACACATCCTGCAGTGCGCAGAACCACCACCCACTACAGAGGATGATCTCATCCAAAATATCGACAATGCCAAGGTTGAGCAACCTTGCTCTAGGAAATAAATCTCCCATTTTCTGTTGAGGGAGGGCAGGGGCAGTTGTCCAGATGTGTGGAGTAGGGGAGATATAGGAATCTATTTATTCCTCAGGAACTTTTAACGCATCTTCCTTATTTTAGCCTCCCTCTTAACCCAGCTCCAGAGGCACATGGTTCTGCCATGTTTGAAGACTATGGTGTAAATCAATATTTTTTCCAGCTTTCTCTACTGTTGGCTTAGGATTCAAAGCTGTCTCTGGTCTGCTAAACTAGTCCATCTATTTCCAAGTTTCCAAATTTTCTTGTTCTTATCTCCTTTCCTGTTTTCCCTATCAGCGTGGGCCCCACCCTTATTTTGCAGGTTTAGTAGTATTTCAAGAGGGAAAAAAAATATATGTGTATAGTCAATCTGCCATATTAATCCAGAACCAGAAATCTCTGTTTCTTGACATAGAGATATATCCTTAGCATATTAAGAAAAAAAGACACTAGATTACAGTGTATTTTGGAAAATATCCTATTCTTAAAAAGAAAACAAGACAAAAACACAAACTTTCTATAACTATTTCTAATCTCTTTGTACATAGAAAAAAATTCTAGAAGAATAAGTATAAAATGCCAACAATGGTTATGTCTGGATAGCAGTATGACAATGGATTTTTACTCTCCTTTATGCTTTGATATGGAGTCCAAAAAGTTTACAATGAGTACATATTTCTTTTATTAACAAATGTCAAGAAAAATTGGCACCCACTTGAAAATAAGACAAGAGATGATTGTATGTCCTTTCAGTGTTACACTGGAACATTAACAGAAATTGTATATGGAATTACACCTTTGTTTGACATACTATTTACTATTAGGGTCCAAACTCAGTGAAGTTACATGTTATAGCTTCTTATAGTTTTTTCCAGGAGAGCTGCAAATTATTTCTGGTAGAAACTATAACACCAAGGTTATGGATTTAACACCTGATAGGTCATTAACCAATTTTAGATCTAACCCAATAATCATATTCCAACATTCTTTCTTCAGTTCCTATAAATACTCAGTTCAATCAAATATTCTGTGAACTGACTTTACCATTTTGCTGGTTCTCTCATTAATAAATTAAATAAATCTTTGATACATTTTTATACTTGTGTGTGGAGTCTTTTTAACTTTTTGAAAATTCCAATTTGGAGAAAGAAAAAACATCTAATGAATACCAAACATAGCAAAGAAAACAATTTCTATGATTCCAACCCCTGACTGCTACCCCGCCTGAGCTCACTGGCACTGCTTCAATCTGACATGTCTGAGCTCTGATTTCTACACATACCTTTGGACAGCCGGCAATGCTGAGATATGTGAGGTTAATGCAATAAATGGCCACTGCTTTAATAATTTCATCTGATAGCTGGGGGCAGTAAGAGACATCCAAGTATTCCAAGATCAGTGAGCCTTTGCAGAAGGCCTGCAAGACATTCCAAAGTCAAAGAGTTTTTTCTTTTCTTTTCCTTAGTCTTTATTCAAATGTTATATACATCTGGAGCCATGTTACCCACAAATGTATACTTAGTATGCATTTCAGTCCCTGATATATAGATGTGTTACATCTTGTTGCCAAAAAAAAAAAGCCATTACACCCATTTGTTGTAAAATTCTTTATAACAAAAGATATTCACACAAACTAGTTTTAACAGCTTAGTAATATTCTGATAACAGAATTTAATTTTCCTAAAGTTAGCACTAATGAAATTTTACCTGTATGGTCAACAGTTGTATTCAACATATGAATGGAGGAAAAGAAATCTGGAGATGAGAATTAGATGACAAACACTCTGGGGTTGGTAACATAATATAATGGAAAGAGCACAGTCTATGTTCGTTGCAGCATTATTCATGGTGTCCAAAACAGGAAAACAACGAAGTGTCCTTCAATAGATGACTGGAGAAAGATGTGGTACATATACACAATGGAATACTACTCAGCCATAAGAAAAGATGAAATACTACTATTTGCGACAACAAGGATGGGTCTTGAGAATATCATGCTAATCGAAATAAGTCAGAGAATATCATGCTAAGCGAAATAAGTCAGAGAAACATATGATTTCACTCATATGTGGGATATAACACTGAAAGCAACAAACAAACAAGACAAATCTGATAGATACAGACAATAGTATGGTAGTTATCAGAGGGAAAGGGGAAGGGGATCAAATATATGGTGACAGAAGATTTGATTTGGGTGGTGAACACAGTACAATATATAGATGTATTATATAGATTTGTACACTTGACACCTATATATTTTTATTAACCAATGTCATGCCAATAAATTTAATGATTTTTTTTAATTGGAAGGGGCAGCTTGTTAGAAAATAGTGAGGTCCCTCTCACTGGAGAAAATCAAGCATAGAGGACCCACATGGTGTGGTGCAGAGGGGAATCTAGCTTTGAAGGATTGGAATTAGTGGCCTTGAATCTCAGCTCAGAGATTCAACAGGTTTTTCAATGAGAATGCAATGAGTCTCTCAGAGGTACCATTTGGAACCCTGCTAGTTTTCAATACCCCTTTCATAAGTATCAAATTTAGATATAGTAGGTTCTCAATAAATACTACCTCGTTAATCCTTTATAAGTGTCTTCAAAGATATAAAGACTTTTTAAAAATAATACAGGAATTCTTATTTTGCAAGGAGTGGGACAACATTGTTTTCTACTTAGAGAATGGATAGAGTTCAACGAACCAGAGAAAATTTAAAGCAAGAAGGAATATTTAAACTATAGGAATAATTTATTAAAAGAGGAAACAAGCTTTAAAGGGAAATTAAATGGTTTAAGTGTCTGAAAATCCTCTTCAGTAACATTTGTCAGTGTCTTGGACTGCATGGATCAGTTCTGCTTTAAGCTTCTTTTTAAACCTCTAATATTCTTTGAAGTTGAACTTTTCTCAGAGGTTTAAATTAAACAATAACATAAAAGTGATTAGAAGGCCTATGTTACATTCATGGTAGCATTGTCATCCATGGAAAACCTGAGGCAAAAAGATTGGTCCAAGGCTTTATGCTTGGCATAAATCAGTGCAGAGCGGAGACATAAGTCAGAACTTTTCATCTCTCAAAATTCACATTTTCCTTTAGAGACATGCAAGTCATATTAAGTACTTAAGTCTGCAGGCGTGTCTCAACATAATCACTCATGAAATTCCATTTCTCCCCTACAGATAAGATGATTTTATATTTTTCTGGCTCCAGTGCTACAGAAGCATTGTACATATATCAATGCTATTGATTTTATTTTCTTGGAAAATGGTAGACTAAGCTTCTTCCAAGTCAAAATCTTTTATAATGAAGATGAAGAAAAAAAAACAAAAACGAACAAGTTTGGCTGCCATCCCACCTATCAACCAATTTTGCTGTGGATTAACAATCTTGAAGGAAACTTCCAAATCGCTTAGTTAAAAATTCCCTCTTTGATCTCACTTATACGTGGATTCTAAAAAACTGAATAAATGAGAAATGTAAACAGAAATAGTCTCAGAGACACAGAGGAAAAACAGGGTTGTTGATTGGGAGGGGGTGGGGATGAAGGAGAAGGGGAAGGGATGAGACAATACAAATTGGTAACTGCAATATGGCCTCAGGGATAGACAAGACAGTCTGGGGGAATGTAATCAATAATGTTGTAAATATTTTTTAGGGGGCCAGATGGACTCTTGTCTTGTTAGGGAGACCACTTCATAGTCAGTGTAGAGGCCTGAAAACCATACTGTATTTCTGAAGCTGATGTTGAATAATAATGTATGTCAACTATAATTATATATACATATAGTCATGGGACGTGGAGTAGAGAGTGGGAACGGATTCAATGGAATTGTAATAGACAAGCATGATATCGGGGGTCGGAGGGCAGTAGATGGGGGAGGGGGGTTGTTTTCGTGCGAAGGGTGAAAAGGATAACTTGCATTGTTCTGTACGCCTGAAACTAACAATAAAAAAAAAAATTCTCCGTGTTTTTTGAGCTGAGTCAGTGTGGGGGCTTAATGACTGCATCCTTAAGCTGGGCATGTGAGGAGACTGCGCTTCACTCACAGTTACTGACTGTCACAGTAATGTGCTTCTGCCAAAATCCTGATTTAAATCATCTTGACAGGCGGCAGCTCCCAGCCTTAAAGAAGCTCACCTCATGGTCCATATTCAAGACACCATCATATTTGCCTCATAGGTTCTGATTAATTCTACTACAGTACAAAGTTTGGGGATTTCTTTTTCCTATTGATAATTCTGGAAAAATCTTGTACTGTCAAGAACCATTTTCTATAATGAAGACTGTTTTTGGCTGCCTCAAAGGCTGAAATACAACTTCCAAAATTTTAAGCAATAAACTGAATTCAAAACTACAGTTTCTGGGGCCTCATATATCCCCATGCGGTGTAGAGCTCCACTCCACTAATGATAGCCTTGTTCCCAGTGGGCATCAGAACAGGCGGCAGTGGCTGTGTCCTGGACACACCGAGCTGGGAGAGCTGGGCCTTGCCACCAAAACCAAACTCTGCAAAGCCCGAGGCCTCCCTCTTGGTGAGATGTGTCACTCCTCTCCTTGCTGGAAAACCAGGCTGAACAAAGCTTACCTAAGGCCCAAACTTAGAAGATCGTATTGCTTTTAAATATGGAGAGGACTCTGAAAGGGAAAGGAGTCAAGGCCAAGGCCCCAAACAAGCATTTCCAAAGATACTTTCATGACTAAGTTTGTTACCAAATTATATGGTGATTTGGGGGAGAAACTTGAGCTTCAAGCCAGATCAAATATGGCTTACTCCATGCAGTTGTCCCCAATCTCTCCCTCTGGAAAAAAATGCTTCTTCCAAATTCCTACTGCTTTTAAATTTTTTTTTTTGGTCTTTCTCACTTTCTACTTGTACTATAGCTATTTATGTAATTTTCTTATCTCCTGCATTGACTGTTTCTTGAGGGGAGAATCCATGCCTAATTTATCTCTGTGGCCCCAACATCTGATATGAAGAAGAGGTTCAATTTGGGAGAGTGTCCAAAGGGACTGAGAAATGCCTCTTAGCACAGAGGTGAGGAGAGTGAGCTCCCATAGGTCACTCTCAGAACCCCAAGCCCAGTCCTGCCTCACTCTCTGTTCAGTAACTGCCGGAGGCTGTGCACAAGGACGGCTAAGAGCAGAGTCTGGAGCCCACTGGTTTCTGGATGAATTACCCAACCTCTCGATTCCACAATGATCTCATCTGCAACATGGGAATAATATGGTACCTTAATGTGGTACCCACTTTGTCGAGTTGTTGGGAGGATTAAGTGAGTTAATATGAATAAAGCAATTGAACAGTACCTGGCACATAGTAAGCAGTCAGTTATTATTATTTGTATTCACTGCTTCTCTATGGCTATGATTGCCAACATTTTAAAATCATGCACACCATAGTAAAATATTTTGAGCATATACTTTCAATAAATGTATATTAATGTACTTGTAAAATATATAGACATACAATTCTTTAAATATATAGTATGTCTTGTAAAGCACATGCTGACGTAAGAAACGCCCAAATCTGTAGAGAATTTTTTTGAGCCAAACTGATGACATGCCAGGAAGCAAGATCTCAAATGTTCCAGAGAATGAGTTTTGCAGTTTCTTTTATACATGTGGAATTAAGGAGGGAATGTAAGGAAGATTATATGAAGATGGGAGAAAGCAAAGATAGAGGATAGACAACAAGATTATGTGCTCCCCTGAGAGTGGCCATGCCGTCCAGGGGTCTGGAAGAAGGATTACTTCTGGTATTTCAAAAGCATGTTAACCTAGATGCACAAGAACAACGGGCAGGGCTGGCTTCAAGCCTCGCACTGAAGAAGTTACAGGCCTGGGGTGTGACTACCCACCATGACCTGCCCAGTTAGGAACCTGCGATCAGATCACCCTGTGAGCTTACTTTTGGTCAGATTTATTACAGAACCCCTTTTTTATCCACACATATAAAAACAGAAATAAGATATACAAGAATAAAAAGGAATCTTAGGTAGATGTTCTAATATTTTCTTGCCATACTGAAACAGAATGTCTTATTCATTTGCCAAAATAAATGTTTTCTCTGGAGATACCTACACAACAGTACACCTTTGGTTGTCAGTAAACCTGGATGACTTAATGGCTGCACAGACCCCGGGGTGTTTGATAAAAACAGCGGATAGCTTTTATAATGTAAAATGTGACAAGTGCATACATGTAATATAAAGATATCAAATGTGGGGAAATTAAAGAACAGAAAGGGTAAGCAGTGAAAGGGAATGTATATTGAAAAGAACACCAGGAAAAAAAAACACAACAAAATATCTTTGATTAATTTGTAATTAGGATTTGTTGGGAAAAAAAATCCAGAACTGTTTCAGGCTTTAGAATTTATCTCTAAAATAAAAACTTGCCAGGGTTGGACTACCCAAAGGTCAA